GTCTAGACCAAGGGGGATGCGCCCTAGTTGTCTCCCTGCCCCTGATGCTCGCCCAGCTGGTCCCCTCCAGGTGAGTCTTCCTCATGCACCTCTCCTATCCCCAAGAAGATTGTATTCGAACTTGCCCCCCAGCCCAAATGACCCCTCCTCTGTGAAGACCTCCCTGAAGTGGAGGTGGATCGTGTCCTCTCAGGCCCCGTGTCCATGAGTTCGGCTCCTCCCTCACTCCTTCCCTCTCTTCTGCAAATCCTTGTAGAACACCGGCTGCGTGGCAGGCACTGTTCTAGGCTCTGGGGAGCATCAGAGACGGAAGAAGCTCAAAGCTTGTCCTTGTGGAGCTCGCACTGCCGCGAGGGACACAGAGTAACAAACTAGGGAACTAGCCAGCCTGTCAGTTGGCGCGAAGTGCCTGGGAAAGGAAATAGGGAGTGGGGCGGGGCTGCCACGTAATACTGTGCGCTGGACAGGTTTCATGGAAACACTGACATTTGAGGAAAGGAGGAAGGAGATGGGGGGAGCTTGGCTGCCAGGTATCTGCAGAGGGCAGAAAACCACCAGTGCCAAGACCCTGGGCAGGGGGGACACCAGGATGGCTGGAGCCCAGTGAGGAAGGTGAGGAATCTGAACTGAAATTGGCCGGCTGGGCCTGTATGTGTCCTGTGTTCCCGCCAGCAACACCCACCCACCCCCACCTAGCCCTCAGCTGGGGAAAGAGAAAGGTTCTGTCAGGAGAGAGAGAGAGAGAGCTGCCTCTGAATCCCAAGTTTGCCAGCTCTGTGGCCTTGGGCAAAGTGCTTTCCTTTTCTGAGTCTCAGTTTCTCCATCTGTCAAATGGGCTAGTAATCCCTTTCCTGAATGGTTGTCATGAAGGCACCTGACAGGTTTTCCAAAACAGAGTGCTCACACCTGGAGGCATTCTCCTTCACCGTCCCCTGGACTCCCCAGAAGGGGCTTCGTTTTCGCTTTGATGGTCAGCAGAAGACGATGCCCGCCACTGGCGTCTGCTCTCCACTGGGCCACCTCTGAAGACCAGCTGGGACGGGCCCTCACTGTCCCTTGAGCCCCAGCCTCCCTCCATCTCCCCATCAGTGTCCACGACTTGCCACATCCACTACCCTGAAGTTATGGGGCCTGTTCAACCCAAAGTGTGAAGGCCAGGTCCCCCATCTGCTGCCCCGGGGTCATGGGGTCATGGGGAAACCAGGCTTGCATAGCATCCTGCACCCATGGTGGGCAGCCGCTGTGCTCAAAGCCTCAGCGACTTCGGGACAAGGACCCCCTTCTCCACAGGACATCAGGGGAACAGGCGCCCCAACCTCTGGCTGGCACGCACCCAGTCTGGACCCCCAGGCTCACCTCGGCAGCAGAGCAGGGAGAGAAAGGCTGCGAGCGCTCCCCAGCCACCAAAAGAGGCCATCGCGAGTGGCATCCGCAGGCTCACAGGGAGCGTTGAGGACTGCCTGCAGAGAGGGGCAGGGCGCCGGTCAGGGAGGCGGGGGGTGGGGGGAGGACTTGCAGCTGCAGTCCGGAACCCCCAGCCTTCCTCCGCTCATGACCGCATTTCCCCTCATTATCTGAGTGGTCTTCGGGAGGCCACATGGAAGGCCAGCTCCCAGGGCAACAGGTCTGCACGAAGTTGGGCAGAGGAAGCCAGGAGTCAGCTGATAAGCGGGACATACCTAGTCCTCCTGGCACGGTCCTATGTGGGGTGGGTGGGCACCCGAGGCTCATGTGTGTGAGATGTGTGTGCACACGGGACAGTGACCACTACAAACCCCAAATCTGGGGAGCCCCAAATCCCACAGCACACTTCATTGGTGTCAGCAAGGGAGGGACTTTCCAAGCTGGAAAGAGGGCTTGGGAGGCGATAGCTCGACATTCTCCTCCTTCCTCTGCCCCTCCCCTCAGATTTCTGGTGATGCACACGGCCCCCTGCACTTTCCTGTCTCTAAGCTGAGTGTGACTTCACGTTACTAAGACAAGGAGGAAGGAGAAGAAACCAGCGTTTCACTGATGCCCATTCTCTGTTAGGGACTAAGTAAGGTTTAAGACACTGTCTCATTATCACAGCAAATCCACCAATTTTGATCGTGCATTGAGGAAGTTCAGGGCTCAGGTGAGTTAATAACTTGCCTAAATCACAGATATTAGGTGATGGGACTGAGGTGAGAACTTAGGAATGAGGAGTGGCTGGTTGGAGAATTGGTAGTTGCCAGGAATTAAAGGGAGGGAGAAATGGACTGAAAGAGCAGAGAGGATTTTAGGTCAGAGAATCTACTGTTTACAGTGGTGCACAGGTGTCAGTACACACTTGTCCAAACCCACAGAATGTGCACACCAAGACTGAACCGTCATGTCAACGATGGTCTTTGGGTGATAATGACATGTCACTGCATGTTCCTCAATCATAAGAAATGGACCACTCTGGTGGGGGATGTTGATAACAGGAGAGGCTGTACACGTGTGGGGACAGGAGGTATGTGGGAAGTCTCCACTTCCCCTAAGTTTTGCTGTAAGCCTAAAACTGCTCTTCTAAAAAGGAGTCTACTAAAAAAAAAAAAAAAAAAAAGGAGATAGTGGAGGACAGAGGAGGCTGGTGTTATAGTCCATGGGGTTGAAAAGAGTCAACACGACTTACAGACTGGACAACTACAACAGAAAAATAGCTCAAACACACCACCTTGGAAGGCAACCTTCTGGGTTAGGATGCTTGTCAGCTATGGATTGTTGTTGAAAACGCAGGCTTTTATGACTTCCCTGGCTGTCCAGTCGTTAAGACTCTGCTTCCAAGTGTTTGATCCCTGGTCTGGGGAACTATCATTCCATATGGGCATTCCATATGCGTGTAGAATGGCCAAAAATGAAGAAAATGCAGGTTTTAAACTCAGTTTTTAGCGGCTTTAGAGGAAGTCATGGTCTCAGCCCTTTCTTTTTTTTTTTTTTTTTTTGTCTCAGCCCTTTCTAAATTCTCATCTCAGATTACATTTTAAAAATATTTATGTATTTACTTGGCTGCACCCAGTCTTAGTTCTGGCATATGGGATCTAGTTCCCTGACCAGGGATGGATCCCAGACCACATGTGCATTGGGAGCTGGAAGTCTTAGCCACTGGACCACCGAGGGAAGTTCCTTGGATTACACTTTAAAAATATTTAAACACAAAACCCAGTTCTACATTGTTTATGAGACACATCGAATGAGTAACAGGGTGGAATAGTTGACAGTGGAAGAATGAAAAAAGATATACCAGGCAAAGCTAACCAAAAGAAAATCCAGGAGGGTCTATTCATATCAAAGAAAAAGGAATTTTAAGACAAAAAATATTTATTAGGGATACAATGAGTACCTAGATTAAATGGTCAATTTATACAGAAATTATAATTGTTGTAAACTTGTAAGCACTTAGTTTGAAAGAACAACAAAGAGATAAAACCATCATCATAGCAAGAAATTTTAATACAGCATCTCTTTATATTGAATAATGAAATAAATGTTAAAAGATGCTCAACATCATTAATCATCAGGGAAAGGCACATCAAAACAACAATGATGTATCACCCCACCACTATCAGAATGGTTATCATCAAGACAACAAATAAAAAACATTGGCAAGGGTGTGGAGTAAAGGGAGCCCTCGTGTACTCTGGTGGGATTGTAAACTGGTGAGAATGCTGTGGAGAAAAGTACGGAGGAGCCTCAAAAATCAAAAATAGAACTGCCGTATGATCCAGCAATTTCACTTCTGGGTATTCTCCTGAAAAAACAAAAGCACTAATTCGATGACATGTATGTTCACCAATGTCCACTGTGGCGTCATTTCCTATAGCCAACATGTGAAAGTCACCTGAATGTTCATCCATAGATGCATGAATAAAGATGCAGTTGGTATAACTACACAACAGAATATTATTCAGCCATAAAGAATGAAATCTTGCCATTTTCGAC